CTCTGCACATTAGATCCCAGACATCAAACCATGATTTGCAATCACCCTCTAAGCTGAGCAGAAGACAAAACAAACCACCAAGGACTGCTTCGAGCTTTACCTTCGGGGGACTCTGCACATTAGATCCCAGACATCAAACCATGATTTGCAATCACCCTCGAAGCTGAGCAGAAGACAAAACAAACCACCAAGGACTGCTTCGAGCTTTACCTTCGGGGCGCTTCAACCGTCTAGGAGCAGTAGGCAAACTCCTTTTCTGAGGACTAGAATGTGAGGACGCGAAAAGAGCGGAGAAACTCGACCTACAAGCTGAAAAATGATCAAATTTCAAAGAGAGATCAGACAAGAGAGTTTGGCCGCTTTCCTTTGTTTTATAAAATTAATAATAAAGTATTCAAATTCAGTGTCCAATACTATTCAGCAGAAAATTATTGTCCTCAATAATTCATGGAAGGCAGATGAAACACCATAATAGCTTTGTGGGCAAGAGGGGAAAGAGACGTGTAGGTGTGGTATGAGAAATTTGTGGTCCAAGTAAGAGTCTTCTCCCTTCTTCTTGTTGCCATACACTACGAAACAATTTATATACGCAAAGAACACGAGAACATGCATGGACCTACTTCCACTATTTGTCTATTCTATGAAAGTATCGGTGCTAAGCACAATCTCACTCACTGTTTTATAAGGTTTGCATGTTTCATTTTGGCTTTCCCATAATTCATATCTGGACAAATTCAACGTTATCTTCATCATTATAAATAAGAAAGGGATATTATTCTATTCATCATCACACAATCACAAAAAGATTCCTCCTCAGCCTACAACTCCTACCACCATTAACAGCCATTTCAATAATATCTTTTCCTGAAAAAAAACAAGCTTAAAATGAATCCCTTTTCCGCTCAAAGTCTGTTATGCGTATCATATCTTTTGTTCTTAGCACATCACTTATCTTCCGTCCATTCATCAAAGCACAAAACTGGGCCTGCAATAAACGTAACCAAACATCTCTTTTTTCCGGATTTTAGCTCCGTCAACAACCCCAGAATCCTTGAAGACATCAAGCTCCTCGGCAGCGCGAAACTGTCGAACACAAATCGCTCCCTCCAAATCCCAGATGAATCCCAAGCCAATGGCCTCAAACAACAAGCGGGCAGAGCCCTCTACTCTTCTCCTATCAGACTATTCGATCCACAAACGCAAACTCCTGCCTCCTTCCAAACCACCTTCTCTTTCCAATTCCACAACGACATTAATACTACTAATGCTACTCACGGCGGCAGTGGCCTCACTTTCATAATTGTCCCCGATGAGTTCACCCTCGGACGACCAGGCCCGTGGCTGGCAATGATCAACGACGCCTGCGACGAGGACTACAAGGCCGTTGCAGTCGAATTCGACACGCGTTGGAACCCCGAGTTTGGAGACCCGAGCGACAACCATGTGGGGATCAACTTAGGCACAATGGTCTCCGCCAAAGCAATCAACGCTTCCGATGTGGGAGTTTTCCTCAACGACGGTTCTGTCCACCGGGCTTGGATCGCCTACAACGGTCCGAACCGTTGGATCGACATCCGTTTAGGATCAGACGTCGATCATTACCCGCAAAAACCAGTCTTCTCGGGTTCTCTTGACATCTCATCATTCTTGAAAGAATACATGTTCGTGGGCTTCTCAGCTTCAACAGGGAACCACACTCAAATCCACAGCGTTCTCTCCTGGAACTTCACTTCAACAAGTCAAGCTTTTCTCAGAGTTCCTTCTTCCGAAACATGCGAGGGCAAGATCGTCGTTGGCAGCGCCGGAAGAATCACTCGCACGGAGCCTCCGAGCAGCTTCTTGATCTTCATGGCAGTGGTGGTGTTAGCCTTGGCCGTTATGCTCAGCTTATACTACAGCGGAAGGCGCAAAGGCCGCGGGGGAAACACCATGTCATCAAACGACGTCGTTTTTCCAGAAAAGAAGAGGCCCACGCCTCCAAATAAGCCGCGGAAGTTCACAACCGCGGAGCTCTCCGCCGCCACGGCGGGCTTCGACGAGATTGAGATTCTGGGTAGTGACTCAAAAGGGGTTTACTACAGGGGAAAGCTCTCAATATCAAGTGCTTGCCACTGTCAAGTGGCTATAAAGCGGTTTTCATCTCAGTTTCTAAGCTCTGCAGGAGTGGAATACAAAAAGAGATTGATGAAGGAAATAATCTCCATTTCCAAAGTTCGTCATCCGAATTTAGTCCCCATAAGAGGGTGGTGTCAAGACAACAAAGAAACAATGGTTGTGTACGAGTTTATCGTCAATGGAAGCCTTGACAAATGGCTATTTGGGGTTGGCGTTCTTCCATGGACGAGGCGTTTCAAGGTGGTGAAAGACGTGGCTGAAGGGCTCAATTTTTTGCACTCAAAACTACTTGCGCACAAGAACTTGAAGCCTAGCAGTGTGTTTCTTGACGTGAGCTTTAGGGCGGTTCTTGGGGACTTTGGGTTTGTTTTGTGTGGGACAGAGTCAAGGAGGTTTGAGTCAGCTGTGAGCCAAAGTGCTGATGTGTTTGAGTTTGGGCTTTTTGTGTTGGAAGTGGTGGCGGGGAAAAAGAGGACAGAGAAGAAGGTTGGATTTTTGGGGGAGTTTGGGGAAATGGGTTTGTTGGAATTGGCTTGGAGATTGCATGAAACTGATGAGAAAGCGAAGTTGGTGGATAAGAGAATGGGGTGCTTAATGAGGTTGGAACAAGTGGTTAGAGTTTTGGAAATTGGGTTGCTTTGTACACTAAATGAGAACAAAGGGAGGCCTAGTATGGACCAAGTTGTGGAGTTTCTGTCTATGGAGAAGCCTCTTCCCGAATTGCCGCTGAGTCGACCCGTTTCGTTGTTTCCGTACAGCAGCATGAATGCTGGTCTCTGCAGCACTGGATACTCTTGTGGCTCTTTTAAGTGAAGAAGTGCTTGTTGAGATTTGCATAATGTAATTTGTTGTTGTAAGTTGAGCCTTTATTTTTAGTGTTAATTGGTGTAGAAAGGAGAGGGTTTTGACCATAGAGTGATTATTTATTGAAGAGATTGGTTTGAGAAAAGAATGCCAGTTAGAAATGTGGTCTAGGCAAAGGTATGTGTATATATGAATGTAAGTTGCTTGATCGAATCTTCTGTTATTTATGGGCAGTGGTTTTTACATGTTACATCATGCTTGAAAAAAAATCAAATTGTGTAGAGATTTTTTGAGATGATTTCTTGGGAAGATTATGGGGGAATGGAAATTGTATTATTGTTATAAATGGATAACGATACAAGTATTTCAGTTATGATAAAACAGTCAATCATTTTAGAAAAGACAACCATCAAAAGGATAAAAATAACTTACAATCTAAGTCATAAAATATCTATTCATCGCTTTCACCAAATCCATAATGTCGGATTCTATAAATAAGTAGGTTTAAACTATTCAAAAGGGCTTTTAGCAGCAATATGCAGATGAGTGACAGAATATGCATATTTAAAAAACCTCCTCCATTTTCAAACTCTATATTGGAAATTAGTCTAGCTTAGCCTCTAGTATATCTAATTTTTGCATCTCTTTATTGTTTTTTCTTTTTTTTTTTTTGATAATTTGCATCTCTTTATTGTTGATCTCAAGATCTTCCTTTCCTTGCTGCTCACCATCTCTTTCTTTCTTCCTTTGTTTTTGTCTTAACCACTCTCTTAACATCATCACCCTCTTCATTAACGTCCATGCCTTGTTTTTTAAAGCCACAAGTTTCATCATCTCAGCCTTCTTTCTTTGGAGGAACTCAAACAAGCCCTTCAAGAGCTACATCTGACTTGTCGCTTCTCATGAGCTTCTCCCTATGCAGGAACAAAAGTACTGTTTCCACCGTAGAATTTCCCTTTTAAAATTTTCCGTGGATTTGAGTTTTCAATTCATAATAAAAAAAAAAAGAAAAAAGAAAAAAGAAAGGAAAGAAAAAAGGTGAAATCAAATGAGTATTTATGTTCTTAGACTTGTTTTTCGTTGTTTCATGTGTGACGATAGCTCAAATTTTTAAAAAACATAAAAATAAGAGGAGAAAAATAAAAATACTACTCATAATAATATTAACTAATATTAAGTGGCTAGTAAAAAAACGCTTTTTATTAACTCGGTAAAAATATTTTTTTATGGCGTAAAAAAAAGCAAAAAAAAAAGGCAGTATAAGTAAATTAAGAAGACAACAACAGATACATCGATCACATCCATCTTAGTTATAACTTAAGTCACAGCTCAAGTTTTATTACTACAGTGTTTTCTCTTATAAAAATTTAAGTTCAACTTTTTTATTACAATGCTTTTCTCTAATATACACAACTTAAGTTTTCAACTTGAGTTGTGAGACAAATATGCTCTTAAGAAACGGCCAATTTTATAAGCAGAGCAACTAAGGACCTAAAGTAAAGAAAATGACAGAATTATAAAAAGAATTGGACAAATTTCCTAATTTCTAAACAAGAATTGTGAAATTAGTAGGCTGCCATAAGTTAGATTGGACATGCCTAATAATGGTATTGTAGAAATTTTAACAAATACTTTTTTTAAAATATAATTAATTCTTACTTTTTTATTCTTAGGGCCCGTTTAGTTTATTGATTCGAGTTTTTAATTCGAGTTGAAATGTGATTTTATGTGAGAATTTTTTACTGTAGTAAAAAAATTAAATGTGACTATTTCTGAAAACTTTTTACTATAGCAAAACTCGAATCGGTAAAATGAACAGGACCTTAATTTGTATCTTTTTGTTAATGTATTTTCTTTACTCTTGTTTCATTTTTTAATTATATAATTATATTAAGAAAAGGATAGTATTTTTAAGGATAAGTTCGGTAATTTTTTCTGTAGACGTGGACTGTGGAGGCTCATGCCCAAAGACGGGAAACGAAAACCATCAAAAAGTGAGAAACAAGTTAAAAACGACGTTAAAACAAGGAATTTACAAAAAAAAAAAACGACATCAAAATAAAAAAGACAATAAAACGACAGACGTCGAGAAACAATCAAATAGAAAAAACGGGAAATACAAAAATGAAATGAAGAAACGACATAAAAAACTGCAAACGGTAACTGATTCTATTTCTTCCAAGACAATCAACAAAAAACGACCACAAGTTTCAATTTACAATGATAAGGAAACACGAATTCAAAAACAAAGAAAGAGAGAAACGGCATATAAATATGAAACTATAATAACATTAAATGATATCATCAACCTTACAAAAGACAACCATCAAATAATTAACTTATGATATAGCCATAGTTAATATCTATTGACAGCTTTCACCAAATTAACAATGTTGCAGTCTATACATCTGTAGCTTCAAACCATTTAAATGATCTTTTAGCCATATGCAAATGATGATAGAATTGACATACGAAAAAAAAAAAAAAAACTTCCTTCATTTCAAACTTTATATTAGAAATAAATCTAGATTGGGCTCTACTGTATCTAACTTGCATCTCTTTATGGTTGAACTTAAACTCTTCCTTTCCATGCTGATCACCATCTCTTTCTTCCTTTTATTTGTCTTATCAACTCTGTTAGCACCATTACACTCTTCAACTTCCATGCCCTGCCTTTCCCCATCACAAATACCATTTTGATCATCAACAGCAGTGGCAGCAACTATTTCATTAAGCTTGGTCAACATCTCAACCTTCTTTCTTTGGAGGAACTCAACAAGCCCTCCGAGAGCTACTTCCGCATTGTCGCTTCTCATGAGGCTCTCCGCAACCTCAGCTGGGGTTACTTTCACTTCCTTCAACCTCTCCTCGATTTCTCCGAACAGAGGATGGTTCTTAACTCGAAGATAGTTGAAAGCGAGGGTCTTGAATCCGGAGGGCGTGAGGTAGGACATGTGGATGTGCATGTCCATTCTGCCGGGCCTTAACAGCGCAGGGTCAAGCCGGTCCTTGTAGTTGGTTGTGAACACTATTATCCTCTCGTCTCCAAGGCTTGACCACAACCCGTCTGCGAAGTTGAGCAATCCTGATAACGCCAACTGCCAAAAGTAAAGGAGACTTGCAAAATATATGTCATTAATCTTTCTTATGTCACTCTTTCTTTGCTACAAAAATTTGAACAATTAATGGTGATGGTCTTCACAACTGATTATTACGCTGGAGTGAACACTTCATGAACTTTTTCTTACTCGATCCAACATTATCAATCATAAGAATTGGTGTTAAGTCACGTCAATTCTTTTTTTTTTTTTTTTGTCACACTTTTCACTACTCTGTTCACTAAATTCATAATCTCTCAATGAGAAAATATATAAAAGGGCGGAGCTACATAAAGTCTAAGTATAATTGCATTGTAATTTCTCAATTGTTTCACTGAATTGAATTCATAACTTCTGAAATAAAGCGCCGTTCATTTTACCCATTCGAGTTTTGCTACAGTAAAAAATTCTCAGAAATAGTCACTTCTAACTTTTTTACTATAGTAAAAAGCTCTCATATAAAATCACATCTTAACTCTAATTAAAAACTCGAATCAACGAACTAAATGAGAACTCCGTTCATTTTACCATTTTGAGTTTTGTTACAGTAAAAAGTTCTTAAAACTAATCATATTAAAATTTTTTATTATAATAAAAAATTCTCATGTAAAGTCACATCTCAACTCAAATTAGTGAATTAAACGCTTGTTTCACTGAATTGAATTCATAACTTCTGAAATAAAGCGCCGTTCATTTTACCCATTCGAGTTTTGCTACAGTAAAAAATTCTCAGAAATAGTCACTTCTAACTTTTTTACTATAGTAAAAAGCTCTCATATAAAATCACATCTTAACTCTAATTAAAAACTCGAATCAACGAACTAAATGAGAACTCCGTTCATTTTACCATTTTGAGTTTTGTTACAGTAAAAAATTTTTAAAACTAGTCATATTAAAATTTTTTATTATAATAAAAAATTCTCATGTAAAAGTCACGTCTCAACTCAAATTAGTGAATTAAACGCCCTAAATATGTTGAATACTTGCATTGTCATTTTAACTCCAAAAAACTATCCAAATTCTCTGGAACATGTGAAACTTACCTTGTTCTTCTCCTTGTTGGACTCCGCTGTAGTAGGATCATTATTGGCGCGATTATCCAACTTGACAGAGCAATCTATGTCCTCGATGACGATAATCGATTTGTTGGCGACGGAGACCAACAATCGACGAAGGTCCCGGGAGGTCAAAGAGGAGAGCTGCAAGTCATATACGTCAAACTTGAGGTAGTTAGCCATGGCCGCGATGAGGCTCGACTTCCCCGTCCCAGGCGGACCGTAAAGCAAGTATCCTCTCTTCCACGCCTTCCCAACTCTCTTATAAAACTCCTTCCTCTCCACAAACCTGTCCAAATCCTCCACCACCATTTTCTTCACCTTCTCCTCCATCGCCATCGTCTCGAACGTCGACGGATGGTCGAAATCCACCGAGCTCCACGGCCCTTCCATGCGTCCTCCGTACGACCCAAGCGAAAACAGCCTGACCTTCTTTTTCTCCGCCTTTACCTCCTTCGCCGCCTCCAGATCCCAGCGAAGCGGGCGGCGATTGTCTCGCCGCGGCTGATGGAGAGAGAGATGTGAGCCTCGCGGGGGGTTTTGGTGGCCTTGAGGTGGGTGTTGGAAGGCGTGATTCTGGCTCCCAAGTAGGCTTCGGTTGCGGCGAAGAGCTCGTTGGGGGCAAGGCCGGTGGTGTTTTCGATGGTGATGGTCATGATGGTGGCCTTGTCGGTAGAGGGATTGAGGTTGATTAGGTTGGAGAGGTAGTCGTAGATTTTGGCCCGGATTGGGGAAGGTATGAATTGGTGGGTTAAGCTCTGGAGTTCTCTGAGAACCGTCCTGGCCACCATAGCCGAGGCGGCGATGGTGGTATATGATGACAGAATCGATCCCGTCGAAGGAATTCTTGTCATTGTAAACATTTTCTTTGGTTGTCTCGGAAAGAAATTGAAACAGTTATTCTGCAGAATTGGAGGAGATCGGCAGGCTTTAAAAAGTTGGAGAGCTCGTCAGTGTGGTGTCGGGGCTTATATTATATGTCAGAATGTGGTAGGTTTTGTCTGCATGTGCATTTTTTTTTAGTTTATTTTTTAAGAGCATTGCTGTACATCCATTGAAAAAACCGGTAACTACTTATATTAGATGCGTTTGGTTCATAGATTAGAAGAGCATTGCTGTACATCCATTGAAAAAACCGGTAACTACTTATATTAGGTGCGTTTGGTTCATAGATTAAAATTATGTGATTAAAATTATTTTTGATTTATGTATATTTTTTATAAGAGAAAATATTATAACGAACCACGATTCATGATTCAAATCAGAGAATAAATTCATCTACTAAACATTACCTTAGTCTTTTTGGTGCTGTTTGTTTCAACCATTTATACCAAAAAATTCAATTCAAACCGGTGTTTAAATTTAAATTGATGTTTGGTAGAGAATTACAGGCGCTTTTCATTTTATTAGTTTGAATAATAATTTAAATTTTTACTATAATATTTTTTTTATAAAATTTTAAATCTAATTTTTTTTATCACAATATTTTTTTTCATATAAATTTATTTTTTAACTTGAACTAGTGAAATAAAAGAGACCATGAGTCCGGTTCAAATTGTTATCAATGGTTTAAACCCCTTGATTTTAGAATTGACCCCCCTAAATTCACACAATCTAAATTATTTTATACAGTGAAAACAATTTAAATTTTATTTTTTCTCGCTCATCAATTTCAAGTTTAAAAATGTCATAACTTTTTCATTTTAATTACAATTGAGATTATTATTTTTTCAGTGTATTCATAATGGAGAGAACAATTCCCTCATATATTTTAATGTCATTCACTATTAGGTTTTATAAGATTTGTTACAAAACTCTAATGCAGTTTTAAATACTTTATCTAAATACAGTTTGAATTTTGTTTCCAATTCAAATTATAATTTATTTACATACTCAAATATTGATTCGAATTGCAATTCAAATTAAATCACACAATCCGACCCGCTAAACAAATTATTTTTTTCTAAAGTACACCACTATAAGTTTTCTAAATTTGAGATCTTCAGCTAAGATTTATAATTAATTGCCAGCTAGGGTGGAAATAAAGCTCCTGAGTATGGGGGATATAATATATGATAGGTTTTTCCACACTATATAATAAGTTTTGCGAAATTAGTGGGCTGCGATCTCTTAAATTGGACACACATAAAAATGACAAGAAAAAACGCAAATAATCAAAATGACAACAAGGTTACAAGAAGCACCAAAAAAAAAAAAAAAAAAAAAAAAAAGGGGGAAAGACAGACAAGGACAAGAAAATTGAAATGAAGAAACGACATATATACTGCAAACGACAACTGAAAAACGAAAATCAGCGAATAAATTTACAATGTGAAGGAAACACGAATTCAAGACAAAGAAAGAGGAAAAGCATATAAGAAAGGAAATAAATACTGCAGACGACAACTAAAAAACGACAATCAGCCAAAAACGACAACGTGTTTAAATCTACAATGTTAAGGAAACACGAATTCAAAACAAAGAAAAGAGGAAAACGACATATAAATAATAAACTGTAAAAACATTAAACGACATCAACGTCAAGAAAGACAACCGTCTAAAAAGCACAGATTATTAATTTATAATCCAGTCAGAAATACAACATTGACGCCTTTCAAAAATATATGTGCTGTTATATATGGAGCGTTGTATAATTGTCGTAGCTAGTAGGAGTACTGATTTAAAACTAATTTAGTTGGTTGGTTTGAAATTAAGAAATAAGTATCACCAAATTAGCAAATGTTGCAGCCTATAGATATGTAATTTCAAACTATTGAAATGAAAAGATCTTTTAGCAATATGAAAATGATTGACAGAATAGATATACTGAGAAAGCTAACTTGATTTCAAACTCTACATTAGAAATTAATCTAGCTCAGGCTCCAGTATATCTAACTTGCATCTCTTTGTGGTTGAACTCGAACTCTTCTTTTCCTTGTTGATCACCATGTCTTTCTTCCTTTTTTTAGTCTTATCCACTCTCTTAACGCCATCACACTCTTCAACTTCCATACCCGGATTTTTCCCATCACAGTTACCATTTTTGACATGAAAAGTAGTTCTAGTGACTGTTTCATTAAGCTTGGCCACCATCTCAGCCTTGTTTCTTTGGAGGAACTCGACAAGCCCTCCGAGAGCTACGTCCGGGTTGTCGCTTCTCATGAGCTTCTCGGCGACCTCGGCAGGGGTTACCTCCACCTCCTTCAGCCTCTCCTTGATTTCTCCGAACAGGGGATGCTCCTTAACTCGAAGATAGTTGAAAGCGAGGGTCTTGAATCCGGAGGGCGTGAGGTAGGACAGGTGGATGTGCATGTCCATTCTGCCGGGCCTTAACAGCGCTGGATCAAGCCTGTCCTTATAGTTGGTTGTGAACACTATTATCCTCTCGTCTCCAAGGCTTGACCACAACCCATCCGCAAAATTCAGCAGTTCTGATAGCATCAACTGCCGAAAGGAAAAGACACTAGCAAAATTAATGTCGGTGGACTCCGCAACAGATCATTACAGTGATCAAGTGAACAACTTTTCTTAACTTGATTGAATATTATGAGTTATATATATATATATATATAGTTGGCGAATTCAATGTGGCTGTCAACTTTTCAATTTCTCATTACATGATTGTCTTCACTAAAAATATGTTGAATACATAAGTAAATACGATTGCATTGTAAGAAGATACATGTGAATCTTACCTTGTTTCTTCTCTTGGTGGACTTTATCGAAGTAGGACCACCAACTACATGATTGGCGCGATTTTCCAACTTATTAACGGAGCAATCAATGTCCTCGATGACGATAATCGATTTGTTGGGGACTGAGACCAACGATTGCCGGAGGCCATAGCCGTCCATGGAGGAGAGCTGCAAGTCATACACGTCAAACTTGAGGTAGTTAGCCATGGCCGCGACGAGGCTCGACTTCCCCGTCCCAGGCGGACCGTAAAGCAAGTATCCTCTCTTCCACGCCTTCCCAACTCTCTTATAAAACTCCTTCCTCTCCACAAACCTGTCCAAATCTTCCACCACCATTTTCTTCACCTCCTCCTCCATCGCCATCGTCTCAAACGTCGACGGATGGTCGAAATCCACCGAGCTCCACGGCCCCGATTTCACTTCCATGCCTCCGAACATCCCCAGCGAAAACAGCCTGACCTTCTTCTTCTCCGCTTTTATCTCCTTCGCCGCCTCCATCACGTGCGGCAGGTAAAGCTCCACCACCTTGTCCACGAACTCCTTCTCGAAACTGAGTTGAAACGTCGTCCGCTCCGACGACGACGCCGGCGGCGGCTCCTTCTCCCTGCTCGATCCCGTCTTCTCGCCGGAGGAGACGGTGGCTAGCCGCCAGCGGAGGTCGATTCCGTCGAAGCTGTCAACGATCGTCTCGCCGCGGCTGATGGAGAGAGAGATGTGAGCCTCGCGGGGGGTTTTGGAGGCCTTGAGGTGGGTGTTGGAAGGCGTGATTCTTGCTCCCAAGTAGGTTTTGACGGCGGAGAAGAGCTCGTTAGGGGAGAAGCCGGTGGACTTCTCGATGGTTATGGTCATCATCGCTTTGTCGGGGGAAGGATTGAGGTTGATTAGTTTAGCAATATAGTCGAGAATTTTGACCCTGATTGGGTGAGGTATGAATTGGTGGGTTAAGCTCTGGAGCTCTCTCATGACCGTACGGGCCACCATAGCCGACGCTGCTATGGAGGTGTATGAAGACAAAACTGATCCTACTGAAGGAATTCTTGTCATGGTGAACATTTTTCTTTGGAGTTAAAAGAAATGAGATTAAAACAACTGATCTGCGGAATCGGAGATCGGCGGCTTTCTTGACTTAAAAAGCTAGTGAGTGTTGACGTGGGGGTTTATAGTATTATATTGTGATAGGTTTCTAGTTCTTTTTTTTTATTATTATTATTCGTTGTATGGGAAGAACGTTAGAAAAATATGGTAACTACTGTATATTCATTAGAAAAATATGGTCACTACTGCTCGTGATTGTGGGGTTTTTTTTGGACTACCCAAGAAAGGATTTTCCACAATTAGGAGTTAAGCTCAATTCTTTTTACCGATTTGAGTTTTATTATAATAAAAAATTTTAAAAAACAGTTATATATATATTTTAATATAATAAAAAACTCTCGTATAAAATAAAATAATTATTTTTTTTGGACTACCCAAGAAAGGATTTTCCACAATTAGGAGTTAAGCCCAATTCTTTTTACCGATTTGAGTTTTATTATAATAAAAAATTTTAAAAAACAGTTATAAATATATTTTAATATAATAAAAAACTCTCATATAAAATAAAATAATTGACATAAAATTTACAGAGAGATCCTTATGTTAGTTGACAAATTTGACAGTTAAATTTTTTTAAAATGTCAAAAATACCCATCAATGTGCAGAAAGACGTTCCAACTTTATGTAGAGCCTGCCTGTCAATAAAATTCTATGGCCCAAAATGAGGTTTCTCAAATCTCAAGAAAACAAGATTAAAGACTCACACATCTAATCAAATCCTTTACGTCTGATAAATATTCCATTACCGGTATGAAAGAAGGAATTTAAATATTAGTATTAAAATATGAGACTTTTTAAGATACGTAAACATATTGATAGTTTAAATTTTTTCTCTGTTAAATTTATATAAAATTACGTAAAATTTAAACGTACGCAGATCTTGGTTAAAAAATATGGCCCATTAGTACGCCAAATGTACCAAAAAAATCTCCCTTAAAATATTGGTATTTGTATTTTAATTCTTATTGTATTTATCTATTTTTTAGAATATATTGTCTTAGTTTAAATTTCAGAATAGGAAATATTATTTTATTTGAATTTGATTCGGAAAAATATGGCATAAAAACAAGGTGAACAAGATTTAAATTTGACAATATGAGTATACATTCAAGGTGTACAAAATGAATGAAATTTAACATAATCATGTAGTTATTAGTAGATACTAGATAAGTCTTAGGTTAAATTATTTGATCTAAATTAGTATTAGATTCAAATTCAAATTACTCATGTAACTCTATAAATATTACATTCTTATTATTAACTAATGATTCAAAATTTAAAATAAAAGATAACTACTAATCTAATATCTAAATAGTAAGGGTAAACTAAATACAAACTAATTTAAATTTAAATAATCAATCATTCTTATCAACAAAAACGCTCATAAGACAGAAGGAAGGCTAACTCGACAACACTCGCTTGTGAGGGGGTTCTCCGATATTCTCTCCGGTAGTCACATGGAGGAGGGCTTTGCTGCTCGCTCTGGCACTCCAATCCTCGCATGTGCTCGGACTTTCAACGACCAGGGATGGGTGCCATTTGGAGGTGGGGCTGGGGCTTTTGTAGCTGAACCTAATGAGCTCTATGAGTTTAGGGTTTCTTTTCTTCAAAATACACTTGAACCAAGGGATGAGATTTGTGAGATTTAGATCAATGGTTGATATTAATTGGGGTATATTTGTCATTTTAAATCTAAATTTAACATAGTTAAATAAAAATGGTGTTGATGTGATTTGTTTTGGTCAAATGGGTGCCTCAATTATTTTGATAAAAATAAGGGGTGTAAGTGTAATAAGCCCAAATTTAAAAGGTAGAAAATTAACTTTATTACTTTAAAATAATGATATGTTTTTACTATGATTAAGATTGAGTTGCAGTAAAGACTATTTTAAACTTTCAAAATCTCATGATTATGACAAAAAATAAAAAAAATCACAGCATAGGATCATGCAATAAACTGCAAAATAGAATTTCAGGTAGTGAAAAAACTGTTATGGAATTCCTTTATATAAAGGAAGAAACAGGAGGGTTAAAAAGAGCGTGTGTGCAGAAAAAGTGAGAGAGAAAAAAAAAAAAAAAAACTTTCTGAAGACTGTGCGTGTGTGCAGACGTGCAGAGAAGTATAAATATATATATATATAAAGGTGCAGAAGAGTGTGCAAGAGGAGATCAAGAAAAAAACAAAATAAAAACGTTTGTGAAGGTGTGTGCATGTGTGTGCAGGAATTTGCATAGAAGTGAAAAAAATATATACATCCGTGATATTTTAAAACAATAAAGTAATTACATGTTTTAATATTTTGATCTTTTTTATACTAACAGTTTTGGTTTTCTGTGTTATTAAACAGATACATCACGTTTAAATCGAGTCCTATATACATTTTAAAGTGTAGGATTGTGATTTACTCCTTAACACTCTCCATGAAGATAAATCTCATATACGCCTTACGGTGTGAGATTTCTTATTTACAGCCTTTAATAAATTCTTAATACACTCATGGTGTGTGGTTTCTTGTTATTATCACAATCCTATGATTATCACTAAGACTTGGATTTCTTTTTAGAGATCTATATAAGTTAAATGTGATTTCAAAAAAATCAAGGATTAAAAGTTTTTCAAATTATTTATCACGATTATTTTGAGTGCAATTTGAGTGAAAAACTTACGAATTACACTTTAAAAATCGACATATAGGAAATTATGTGCATATGATTTATATAAAAATATTCATACGAATCGCACGATACCCGCCAAAAAATAATCAAAGAAGAAAGATGTTAAAAAAAAAAAAGAAGAAGGGAGAAAAAGCAAGCAACCTCACCTTTCTTTCTCAATATCTTCACAAAGCATATATATATATATATACACACACACACACCAAAGATTTCACATGCTTGTACCTTTTCAAATATATATATATATATATATGTATAAACCATTCTGGCTGCAAACAGCAAGCCACAGCAAACCATTTTTTTTTTCCTGCAAACTCACGTGAACTCATATATATATATATGCGGAAAAAACAGGGGACGTGTAGAAAAGAGGAGGGTGAGAGAAATTTGAGTTTCTTTTAAAATCAAATTGTCTTTTGAGATTAGAAGATCAGCTAAAATAAATTAAATAATAACAAATCTAATTTAAATGGTGGATTTGATTTTAAATTTTAAAATTCAAAAAAAAAGGGGGAGAAAGACAATAAATTTTAAAGAAATTCAGAATATTAAATACCCTAAAATTTAAAGTGCACAAATTGAGCCATTTTATTGCCCTTTAATTAAAAAAGATGAGTCTATTGTCTCATAAAACCATATGGTGCTTAAATACAATTTTCAAATCCCAAATTCAAATAAAAAAAATCTCAACACCAAATTCAAAAAGGATCCTTTTAATTCCCCATAAGGTCATATACCCGAGAATTATCCAAATGTAACTTTCAAATCCAAATTCTCAAGTAAAATTCCAAATCAAATTTTAAAACACCTTTTAATTCCCCATAAGGTCATATACTAGAGAATTATCCAAATATAACTTTCAAATTCTAAAGTAAAATTTCAAATCGAATTTTAAAATATCTTTGAATTCCTCCTATGATCATATATCGGGGAATTCTCCAAAATCTAAATTCAAACTCAAGAACTACGATTGACTTGATTCCCTATCGGATACGTAGGCAACCTAAAATTTATGTGCAGTTTCAAGATCAAATTTAATCAAAAAAAATCCTCAAGAACTACGATTGACTTGATTCCCTATGAGATACGTAGGCAACCTAAAAATTTAGGTGCAGTTTCAAGACTAAATTCATTTTTTTTCTAATTCTCATAAAAGAGAAAATCAATACAAAACCAAATCAAATTTCAAAGTGCGTCAATTCCTCATAAGGTCATACACCGAGGAGTTATCCAAAATTCTCAAACCAAAAATTTGAACTACAAGTGGCTTGATCCCTTAACGGGGTATGTAGGCAACTCGACAAAATTTATTGAGTTCAGCTGCAATTTTAAATCAACTCAAATTTTCCAAATTCACAAGAAAATAGAATTTACTGTTTTAATTGGAATCAAAAGGTTTTCTCTTGTACCAAGGGATTGTAATTAAGAGGTTATTCTTATAATCTTGAATGAGTCGAACTAAAAAATAATAATAAACTCCTATATTAATTAAATCATAATATAGGTGAAATTATGTTGTGTGTGAAATATTATTAATATTTTCACTCAACAATGGTAACTACTATATATTCATTAGAAAAATATGGTAACTACTGCTCGTGAT